CCAACCATATCACTCAATTTCACTACAAAGCACACAATGCCACTGTTTGGAAGGATTGGTGAGGGGTACAACCCATAGAGAATATACAACCACAGATTATGAAGAGTAGTACTGAACACAGATTACAACACAAACAAATCGATAACTAAATGTTACAATATGGCAATACTAGTCTATGACGTCACTGATATATTACTCTGCCATCTGTTGACATCTGCAGTACAACTACTGTAAAAACACTCTGGCGCTTAGTTGATAACAACTTTAGCCACCCTTCAAATCCTGCAGGCTGAAGAAGAATCTGGTGGTAAAATTCCTTTGTTTCCACTAATATGGACGCACGGGAGCCAAGCCCGAACATCAAGTACACATTACGTATCGTAAAAGCTCAGGAATGCAAGATACACATAACGAATAACGTCTTCGAACGGAAATCGTTCATAAACTGAGAGTTGCCTGTATTGGAAAGGGCATGAACTAATGTAAAGATAAGTGAACTGCCGCGCCATATATTGACGAGGGTTTGAACTAATGTAAAGATGAAGTGAATTGCCACACGATCTGTTGGGAAGGTATCAACTAATGGGCTTTATCAGTTGAAATACTTTTCTTAAACCGAATGTTCATATGGCATCTATGTACTGATAATGGGCATTAATAATTCATCAACTTTCTTTGAAAGTCCTCTAATATTCTGTTCACGAAACACAACATGTTTCAACGTTACTCAGCACTACGTAATCATTTTTAAAAATTCAAATTCAAAATACAGAATGTCAAAGAAACTTTAAACTTTTGCAAATTAAGACGTCACGGGCAAAGCGTAGCGTTGAAGTTTTTGTTTTCGTAACCAGTAATACTGCAACATCAACAACAAAAAGAACAATGATTAATTCTGCTGCTGTCATTATTATTATTAAGTTATTTGCCTGAAGATGACCAAATGTGGTCAAAACAGGTGTTTCATTGTACACTATATCATGATATATTTGAAGAAGTAAGCAGTAGCAAGAATATGATTTATGAATAAAAAACACATCGTAGTCACTGTATCTTCCGGCACACTGGCTCCACCTCACTAACCAGGCTGGTCAGTGGCCTTGTATTACGATCTCCAGGGTGCAGACTAGTACTCGGACATCGCTCCTGACTCGAACAGATACCAAGCATCGTAACACGGAGGCTGACCCAGACCACAGGACAGACGGTGTCATCCTGGGCCCACGGCGAGAGAAATAAAACTGAAGAACAGAAACACTCAGGTGCTGGAAAGTTAGCAGCAGTGCCAGCATACGTGTGGCAACCATCTCAATGATGCATCGCTCGCAGACTGTGATCAGGGTGTGATAAGGATGGCTGCTGCTGCCAGTTTCCAGGCCCCGTGGTGAACCCGTTCTACTTCTTGCTGTGGGCCCGGTATGACGCCATATAACCTCAGATCTGTAACAAGGCCAAGGTGGCCAATCCGGTGAATCTGCGAATAAAATAGTTTTTAAGAAATTCATTCTAACAATCTTAAATTTTCCTGGCCTGAAGTCTCATTTACCATAATGCATCTGAATAAAAACACAAAGTTGACAAAGAATGAGTAGCATTTGACAAAACATGCACAAGGCATGAACGCAAGATGCGAAAGGTTCCAGTGTCCGTAATGCGCGGAACAATTTCACATCTGAAATGTGTGATTCACTGGCACAATGACAATAAATGTTCTGATGGTAGTCTGTGATTTTTTTCGTGTCCAGTACGCGCCATTCGGCACGGCGTGCATTGGTGGTTAGCAGGATTCACGACCCATCAGTACATGGGTTCGACCGGGACAGCGACATTTAGCTGTGACCCCCTTTTTACGAGATGATGATGAAAGTGGAGTAACTGTTGGGATGCCACGGAGAAACCGGGGAAGCCCCTGGAGGAAAACTCCATGATGTCTAGACCACGGCCTTGCCCAACACAAGTTATAAATCTGAGCACCGCCGGGAATCGAACCCGGGACCCCAGGATTACAAGCCCAGCGTTCTAACCGCTAGACCGTGGCGGTTGGACTGTGATACCATGTGGACTCACAGGCGGGTATGAACATTATTCATCCATGTGGAAGATGGAACCCATTCACAAGTTCACAAAATAGTGCCAGCTCGGAAGACTATCATCAACATGATAAGATATTTATAAACACAAAGAATAATGTGATTAATTTATAAGACAAAAATGAGAGACAAGTTTATGCAATGTTTTAAATAAATACAAGTTGTGCAAATACTGTTTGACATTTTATCTGGATCTCATCCCAGGACATCCAAAATATTTTCTTCCGAAGGTGGCATACAGACACTCCATGGATAACTAACATCGACCTTTATTTAATTAATTCGCTGTTTAGTACAGTAGAATTTGGGATACTTTTCCACGTATTGTCTCACTGCCACTGTGCATGTCGGGACAGTCAATAAATGTGTACTCTACAGCCATTGGACTCCCCTTAAAATCGTGTTAACTTTGGTATAACAGAAATTTAAGTTGTGTCCTGTATAGACAGAACTCTAATAAACATTGACGCACCATCCGCATATGAGAAAACAGTTTGTTGGCTGCTACGGAGACCATTTTAAACATTAATTACATGGTTGTATGTGGACCTGGTTTCTCACCACAGAGGCTTGTGTTTGCGTCCATGGATGTGAGACGTGTGGCGGACAATGGGAGAGGTCTCTACGTAAATGTACTTCTGGATAAGTGTGAGCAGTTTGGAGGACTACTTTTAATCATACTACAGAAGCTCAGTTACTGAAGTAATAAACAACCTTATATTATTTTTAGATACGTACTTAAAAATGTGCATGCATTTAAGTATGTTTCCAAAAATATTTCAAACTTATCCATTCTTCAGATCAAAACCTATTCACATTTTAAGTCCCTCTGTCCTGAGCATTAGTCTTTAATTGAAAGTCCAATCCCTTTGCAAGGTTAAAGCTCAGTCCCACGAATATTATAGCAATTACGTGTCACTCGGTAAACAAATCTATACAGCCCCTAGTGGAATTAGTTTGTACTTGTACCTGTTCTTGTATGAAAGATGATACTTCCGAATGCCAAAACTGGAATGGATGTCATTATTCAAACAGGCTGAAATAATATACAATGAGAATGACAACATAGCACATACTGCAGTATTATGAATGACTTCAATATTTCCTCTCTGGCTCTAAAACAGAATTGCCTCTTATGTTACCTGTAATATCACTTCTTCGCTTGTTAATTCAGGTCCAAATTCTCCATAACTTGTGGAAATTCATCGCTCTCGTTACGCTCATCATGTGAAATAACAGACGGTTGGTCACATTGTACATAATAAGTATATTCAACTTCATCGTCATTTTCATCGGCCAATAACAATCGAACCTGCAAGAAATGAACTCCTGTAAGCCATGTAATGAAATTAATTTTATACAAAATACTGCAAGGAGACTGTGTTCTGGTCGCCCTATTGTGAGGCTGGTCTTTGTATACAGGTTGCATCAAGAGCGTCATACAAAGAGCAAATGTAAAGCTAAAATCTGGCATTTTTCTAAAACATGTACAGTATATCTAAGTTTCACTGCAGTGTCATCTATTACTTCGGTAATATCGAACACCGTCGATCTGTGGAAAAATGCAAAGACAGTACAGCCTTATTCCACTTCCCCTCACCATACACTAACAGGTTAACTACATGTCAGTAACTAGGGTTATAGTTGTAAGATTTGAGGTTAGGTTAGTTAATATAGCAAGTCAGTTAGGGTTATACCTAGAGTACATGAAATTTATGCAAATACTCAAGGCTCTGTAGTTCAGTATCATATTTGTTTAATTCTGTGGTTTTAATCAATTTGATTTTGTGAGATTCTGTGGTTTCATGGTGGGGGTATGATAACTGTCTTTGCAGGCTGTTGTCCCATGCAGTCTGGTAAAAGTTAAATAAAAATTTCTGAGGTGTATATACCAAACCATGAATGAACACGAGCTGCTCTGGACTCCAAGAATGATGAAAGAAAACAGGTCTGATTGTTAGAATCAGGCAAGAAATGGAAAAAAAACAACTAAATCCTGAGTTTTACAAGGAACTGAACTACATCATTCACCAACACTTTTAAAATGAAATTGAAACTATTTTGAGAGCAACTGGTAAATTTTAACCTGTGTCAAAACGTGATGAATTTCTAACTTTGTTTCCATAATAATAATAATTTTTAGCAAACATACTCGGCGAACACAACATTAGGGAACTTCAGAAAACTGCCATTCTAAGAACACCGTACGTCATTCGAAAGACATAGAAGTGTAAATACCCTGTAAAATGGTGAATAGATGGAATAACAATAATAATAATTTTGATATTATTCTCCCATCTACGCTGAAGTGTCTCAATTGGTCTCTTCTTGAGCACTTCTTAACCAAAAGTTTGTATATATTTATCATCTCCCCATGCCTGCCAGTCTGGAATATAATAACCCTTAAAAAATAATTGTTTCATTGAAGTTATACTACTGGAAATTTTGATTGATTCCTCAGAATGTGTATCAGTGTGAAAGACACGGATCTGTCATTTGAGGTTATGAGCAAGTAGATTTTTAGTTTGACACATAACCTCACTTCCTCTGTGGGCAAATAGTCAGAGGGAAAAATTAGAGCTTCAACACCTTAGCTGCATAAATGGAATGCTGTCAATCTGAACACAATTACAAAGTGTTTCTGGAAGATAAGAACACAATCATGAAGAACATGAATCAGAAGGAAGTACAGTCATATGAAGACATCTGAAGGGAGAAATGAATGTATGGTCACATTTGCAGAATCTGGCTGATGACAGTCATCCACCCTATGCAATCAAACCAATGACTTCTGGATCAAAAGAAAAGAATACAAAAACTGATGATGAAGAGGCAACTGTGTCTGGAGCAACTGGAAAATCTACTGCCACAGATAAATGGTGTTCACAACATGCCACAGTTAAGTCATCCAAAATTTTGTGGCAACTATAAAAATTATATGATATTGTAGGTGCGTCATATTGTGATTTATTAAATATCATCACTACGAAATACAATCATATTAATGACATGCGACACAACAACGGATGAAGATACAATATGAAGGACGAGAACATGATAAGAAAAATGAAAACTAAAAATCATTAAATATCAGTAAAAATCAGTAATTCAGTTAAAAAGTTTATAATATAACACCTGATGACGGCTATATATAGCCGAAACATGTCGTAAATGTTCCACATGTAAATCGAGTACTCGATAAGGAACGTAAAATGATATTTTAATCTTTTAACTATCTTATATTGTGATTGACGGCCAATTTTAATATATTTTTAATATAAAAGTTATGTTTCAAATCTGCTTAAAAGAGAAGTGAAACAAAGACTGGATATATTCTTCAACATTTCAGAAGAGAATATTGTTTTTAACCAAGACAGTATATCGTCGCAGTGGCCGCGCGGTCTGAGGCGTCGGCCTTGTGCCTCTCGGTCGCTGGGACCGTGGGTTCGAATCCCACTCAAGCCATGGATGTTTTTCTGTGTTGTGCTCTCCTGTGTACAGGTAGAGGCCTTGAGAAGGGCCGATCCCTCATCCAAGGAGTCCTACCGAATGTCTAATAGATCAATCCAACGAAAAGTTGGGACCCGCAGTGCTCATGCACTTGAAGAACGGGTCGTCTAAGTATCCTAAGTAAGTAAGTATGTGCACGTATTGTTTACCTGAAAGCTCGTGCAGTTAGTTAACATCTTTAACCAATTACTCAATGTAAAGCTGTTGCCTTGTTTGATGTAATGGAGTGTATGGAATGATACAGATTTTCATCAAAATACTACAGGTTTGTACATACATTTACAGTAATAATCTGTTCTTTTAAATAAACAATTCAAATTTAATTTTCCGGTTAGTAACGCGTTCAATAAAACAAAACTGATCATTTGATAAGTTCTGAACAGGCCATAAAACTAATCCTGTAAATATTTTGAAGTCCGGCTCTTTAAATTGTTTCCTCGCTTCGAAAGATTACGTTGCCGAGCCCCTCGGAAGACCTCTTAAGAAGGGTCGACTGTATGAAATGTGAAACTCTGACAAATTTGAATTTATTTGGTGTTAAAGACAGAATTCATAACCGTGAGATGGGAAATAAGGTGAACTCGCATTCTATTTGACGGACTAAGGATAGCGATGGGTATCTACTGTCGAAGTCACATCTCAGGACCTGATAGCTCTGTAGACTTACGTTCACTATACATAGACAATAGTTACCTTGACGATGTCATTAAAGGTGACAAAATTCTGAACTTCTGGCTGCGAAGGCACCTCCCCTTCTGTAACACTCTGAAGGTCTTCGGAACGTGAATTCTGTGATCGCAGAGAACATCTGAGGGAAAGATATGTAGATTTTATTATCTGTGCAAAAGGATCAGCTTCTACATCACCAGGAATCCCAATATGAAATCCATTACCAAAATTCACGAAATAATTCACTTGCCCAAAAACGTCTTGCAGTATACTTTAAAATAATATTTTGACAGGAAAACTTAAGAAATATAAGACCAGCAAACAAAGGTAATGCATCCTTTAAATTTCTCTCTGTACTTTATTTTATTTATTTAGTGTTCTGTCTGACGACAGGTCCATATGAACAGGATCCTTCCATCCTTTTCTCGGACTGGGACCTGTTCATATACGTTCTTGGCAGATGATCCAGAAGTGGTTTGACATTGCCTTCTTCTGTGTGTGAATGAAGTAATTGTTGGGATGCCACGGAGAAAAACTCCGTGTTGCCTAGACCACCACAAGTTATAAATTCGAACCCGAGACCCCAGGATTACAAATTTTGGCAGATGATCCAGAAGTGGTTTGCCCTTGCCTTCTTCTGTGTGTGAATGGAGTAATTGTTGGGATGCCACGGAGGAAAACTCCGTGTTGCCTAGACCACGGCCTTGCCCAACACAAGTTATAAATTCGGGCACCGCCGGGAATCGAACCCGAGACCCCCAGGATTACAAGGCCAGCGTTCTAACCGCTACACCACCGTGTACTTTACAAATGATAAATAACCTGTTATTAGATGTTTAACACATCTGTGATAAGTGTGCATTTATGTTACTGGAAGTAATTCAACGTGCTAATGATCGATCACAGCTTCATATATACTCTGAACCATCTTCATCTGAACTGCACGTGTAATTTCATAAATAGTATAAATACACTCAAAACTGATCAAGTTATTATCTTCTGTCATTTGTCTGTTATCTCTTACCCCGCATTCCAACTATCCCACAGAAAAAAAAATATGTAATTTTATTTTTAAGACCAATACTTTTCTGCTGACATATATTTGCAGACTTAGGGCACATACCATAGAGAATGTTGTATTATAATTTATTTATTTTTTACTTCACACACCATCAGTTCTAATAAACAATCTTTTAACTCTGATTATTAGCATGACACTATATAACATAAAATTCCCCCCCCCAAAAAAGTCCACTATCTAAAGGGAAACGCGAAGCTGTCGTAAATATTAAACGGAGAAATTCCAAGCCTTTTATGGAATAAAAGAAATGTCGTTACTATGTCCACAACTCCCCACCAAAAATCTATTCTGAGCAAGAAATACAATTATCCACAGACAACGCAGTGACACTACCACTCCAATACTTCCTGCAAAACTTCTTACGGATCTTAAAGACACACATAAAGAAACTGCGTGTCTTGGGGTTCGATCCCAAGACACGCTGCTAAGGTCTTCTAGATCTAAATTAATATTTTGCTTCATTAAAATTTGTTGAGGCCGCCTTTCTGTCGTCTTGGAATATAAAGCTTAGCAAATGTGACGTAAACAGAATTTTGATATGAGGGAGAGAAGATAAATCGTACAAAGCATATGAGAAAAAATTTAGATATACCAGAAGAATTGTAAAGAGCACGTCGAAAGGATGCAAGATTACAGACTACCAAAACCAGCACTTATATACCAACCAGTGATAAAACGAAATAATAATCACAGGCATACTAAGCTTAATTAATACCAGTTCAAGAAAAAGAAAAAGTTTTCTAATCCAAAACACGTGTCAAAATTTCGTCGAGATCTAGTAGCGTAGTGACCGGCAGCTAACATTATTTGAACGTACTCTTCGTTTGATACCGTGTGCCATGAGGATGGAATCTGCAGCGACCAATCAGGGCGTACGGTTCAAATTAAATAATTCGAGCCAACCCTAAATTTCACTTCTATATATTGGTGGAGGCTTGGGTAGGCAAGCAGGTGGCGTGTGAATTTAACGAGTGCATATCGAGTGCTCCACACATTAACATTTGGCTTCAAACTTTTAATTCAGTTAAAATTATCAACAGAATTTACCTTCGCAGTTACATGAAACTCAGATACGTAAGTCAGAATTTGGTACGAGAACTGGTATGTACCACAGTGCAGTTCGCATACCTTACTGGATGCCTGGAAGATATTGATTTCGCATGTGTCGACTCAGCAGGTGTTGAAATCGTACATGTCGACTCAGTAGGTATCGATTCTGCGCTTGTCGACTCGACAGGATTCAAATCTACACGTGTAGACTCGGCAGGAGTCGACTTTGAACGCGTTGATTTTGCACGTGTCGACTCAGTATGAGCTGGCTTTGCGCGTGTCGACTTTGTACCTATACACTCGACAGGTGTCAAATTTGCATCCGTAGATTCGGCAGGTGTCGACTTCGCAAGCGTTGACCCAGTAGATGTCGACTCCGTAAGTGTCAACTCTGAACGTGTCGATTCGGCAGGTGTTGACTCGGCAGGAGTCGACTTGGAAGGTGTCGTCTTTGTACTGATCGACTCAGTAGGTGTCAAATATGAACGTGTAGACTCAGCAGGTATCGACTTTGAACGCGTTGATTTTGCACGTGTCGACTCGGCGGGTTTCGACTTTGCAGGTGTATTCTTTGCACGTGTCGATTCGGCAGGTGTTGACTCGGCAGGAGTCGACTTTGAACGCGTTGATTTTGCACGTGTCGACTCGGCGGGTTTCGACTTTGCAGGTGTATTCTTTGCACGTGTCGATTTGGCAGGTGTAGACTTCGACTCCGACATCGACTTCGACTCCGTACATGTTGACACAGCAGATGTCTTCTAGAAAACAGAACAAAATAAACAAGAAACTTTATGTCTTCGACAAAATGCCAGAATAGAATGTTGAAATAGGCCACGACACAGTAGACACCACATAACCTGTGGAGTTAAAACAACGATGTTAATCTAATAATCAATTTTCAATTCACAGTTAAGAGATGGCTTTAAAGCAGCACGGTCAAGCTGCCAGCTGAAATTCTAATCAATAAACACGTATGGAATCAAAACAAAACTTTTTTGTCCATCAATACCACCTCAATAAATTCTGATGCTGTTGCTATAAGCGTAGCAGAAATGGTCACTACACGAAGTTAAGCAAATTGAGTGACACCAAAGTGTTTTACTTACCCTATTTCGGGGCATCTATGAATATTTAAACGTGCAAAACAATTCCTTCTTGCCACAGTTAAGTCGGACTTGCAACTAATCCAATACCTTCTTTACACAACGTTCTCATGGCAACATAACAAATCTTATTTTGGTTTGTTGTCATAGACACCAACACCAACAACAACCAACAACAACCAACACTAGAAGTAAACACAAATAAAACTAAGAAAACAGTTGACTCTCGATTATCTCGAGCTCAGTAAACACAGTCTCTGGTTTAAACAAAAATTAAAAATTAGTTGAGAAAGTCTGTTGTGAAGTTAGAGCGTTTAAAAACAAACAAATACAACAATGACGTCATTTAACGTATTGACGTAAATCAATTGCTGCTATTAACCTGAAATTTACAACAATATAACGTGCAAAAGAAACGAATAAATACAACAATGACATTACTTAACGTAGTAATGTAAAAACAATAGTTTTTTAATAGTTGGTATCTACTTTATTAATTTTGAAATGAAATCCTTTCTGTTATTATTAAATCCTTAAAAATTCAAGTAGTGATTCAAAAGGTTAGGGCCAAACTGAACGAGCGCATAGATGGCCTCAGAGAGAACAACTTTCGAACAGGAATCCATGTCCTCCGAAGTTATTCTGAGTCAGTCAAGGCCATTGAAGATAGGGAAGTCTGATAACTGACTCAGGATAACTTCGGAGGACATGGATTCCAATTCGAAAGTTATTCTCTCTGAGTCCATCTACACGTTCCTTCAGTTTGGTCCTAACCTTTTGAATCATCCTGTATATGTAAATAAACTTACATATGTAGTATATTTTGAGTGTTTTTCTTTCATGATTGCGAATTATTCGAGGTTTGGATTATCCAGGAAGATATATTTCCCAACCAACAGATGAAATTTATGGAAATGTTTACTAATGTTGACTTACGTCGCCTAACAACAAAAAATGTTTTAAGGCGCTCATTAACATACCCACGTGGTAGTGATGTTACTACTAATTTTAAAAATATAAATCTTCATGTTACATTTAAGTTGACCATTCAAGCGTAACACAATAACAATAAATAAATGAAAACAAAAACCGGATAGAGATGAATGTATAGTAATTACATCGTAAGTTAATCCCTTCTTTAGACATTCTGTTCGACATGCAAATTCTCACTGGTTTGACATGTTAGCGAAACTGAAAGTAACCTATCGGCAATAGCGGAAGTCAAAATAGCTCATTCGGTATAGTAACAAGGTTCGAAAACTCGGGTTCGATTCTCGGAACGGGCACAACCTCGAACACAACTCCTGGGTCCTCCCAGCTGCTTATTAAACGGGTCCCGGGGATCTTTATTCGGGGTTAAATTGTCCGGGGCACCACTTACCCATATCTAGTTCCAAAATTAAGAATGATACAGACATACTTCCACCTCTTAATATGTTTAGAAATATACTTTTCCGGATTTGTATATGCTTTCCGCGTGTATCCACTTGTTAAATGAATTAATAGCTCTGTTTGAATGTATTCAACGAGGGCTCATCTTTTCCTGGAACAGTGTGTATATACAAGTAACAGTTTATAAAATTAGTATTTCCAGTAGCGCACGCAAGGTTTGTTGTTCAAAGGCCAAGTTTGTCAGTGTAGTAGTTGACATTGTAGAGCAAAGTGCCCAGTGAAGGTCATTTTGCAATGGAGCAGTTCAAGTACTGAGATTCCCCCTAATGAACAAGAAACTTCCGAGTCTATGACTGCAAAATGACGTTGTGTTTTGTTGCTTTTATATAATTTACCATTTACAAAAAGTTTTGCATTCCCTCACCAATTATGATGAAGAAAGCAGCTAGTATACAGGGTGAGTCAAAAGTATGTTTACAATCTTCTAGTGCGTATTCCAGGATCAAAAGTAAGAAGAAATGTTCCTATGAACATGGGGTCGCAAATGTTTTATTTTCGAAATAATAGCCAAAAATAATTTTCAATGTAGGAGTTTATTGCCAAGTATAAAGAGAGGGATGTTTCTTTATAACAGACGCTCAAAGGTTGTTCCTCCATTTTCCACACATGCACGAGCACGACGTACACACGACTGACGAATTCCTTCGTACACTCCAGGGTTTCCTCGAGTCATCTGACATGCATTCTGCACACGTTCCCACAGGTCGTCTTCATTGTTTGTGGGTGTTGCATAAACGACGGACTTCAAGTGACCCCGCAGATAAAAGTCCAATAGAGTCAGGTCCGGTGACCTCGGTGGCCATGCTACTGGGCCACCACTGTTCATTGAGATGATCT